GTATTTCCCCAAAACGATCCCATGACCTAGTTCTCCTCTCCAGGAGAGAAAAAGACTCTGCTTGCTACTTTATTCAGTCCCATCCCCTCCCTTTATCGCCCCCTGTCTCAAGATTTAAAGTGACAAAATTGATCTTACAACACACTGGATATTTTAATTAGTATTTAAATGACAATCATTTTTCTGCTATCTCAGAACAAAACCTTGTGGCTGCTGTATCTCTCTCCTTCTGGTAACAAAGTTTCTGACAAAGAATATGCTACTGGAATGTACCTCTCCACCCTCAGAAGTATTATGCAGAAAATTTCTACAAAACAGATTAAGTGTAGTCCTTTCCTGTGAAGTGGTCTAACACCAGGGATCAACTTCAAGTGGATCCCACTGGAAAACCTTTAGCGTAAAAAGAAATTAAAGACAAAAAAAAAAGGAGATTACTGGAGTGAAGACGGAGGGGAGTTGCCTCCCACCACCACAGCAGGTGTTGTTCAGAAGCACCAGTGGCCACCTTTCACAAGCAGATTTGACCGGTCTGATACTCCCTATGGCTATCATCATTCCACGTTCTCATCTTCCAGAGCAACTTCAATGATGTCCTCCCTGTCTGGTGCTTCAGTACTGACCCAGCTCCATTTTTCCAACCTTGACATGTTAATTTCCGTATTTCTATTCTTTCAAACGTTATTCTTTTAAAGCATATTATACCTCACCTATTGTCTCCGCTATGGCCTATTCCCACTCTTGCCTACCCTCCTCAAATGAACTATATTCAATACACCTTTTTCTTTTATTCAACAAAGATGGCAAAGTCTTTAAAAATCTTTCCATTTTGTCATAAATCAAAAAAGAAAACACTGAATTCTTAGAGTATTAAATTTCCAGTGTTATTCAGTCTAAAAGCCCCATATTTAAAACCATTTGTTTTTATAAAATATAAAAATGTATTCTCAACTTAATCATTTGGATAGGACTCTAATTGGTCTATTTTAAAAAGTGACAACCCTTCCCCTTTTAACAACAAAAAAAGAGTCATCATTCTTTCTTGCCCAGAATATCACCCATACAGAGGATAGGCTTATCTTTCCTTTCATCTGCACACTATTTCTACAACTCAAGACTTATTCAGTCCCCGTGATGCTGACTTCCCTCTCTTTGCCTTACTGAGGCTTCTTACCTCATATCCTCACTTCTCACTCTTTCGAAACTGCCACCTTATTCCCTGATTTGCCACCACCCCACCATTTCAACACCGGACACCCCAGCTCACTTACTGATGAATTAACTCAGCTGAGACAAAACTAATTTTCATCTACATGAGGAAGATCTGTAGCTGTACAGTCTAAAGACTGCCCAGTCATGGTCTTACAGCACTGACAAAGGTAGACAACAACACTGTTACTAAAATGAAAGTCACAAAGAATAACTGCTATACCCACAACCACACTCAGCATCCTCCCCAAGGTGTCTATAAAAACCAATGGTTCCATATTCATCAAAGGAAAGAAAGTGAACATAATGCTTCCCTCAAGACATTCTCTAGACTCTCACAGCAGATTTTAATTTTTAATACAATGTTTAAAGGTTCCTGCCCATTTACAGTAATTACAAAATACTGGCTATATTCCCCGTGTTGTACAGTACATCCTTGAGTCTCTCTTATACCTAATAGTTCATACCTCCCACTCTTCCACCCCTATGCTGCATCCCACTCTGTCCCCACTGGTAACCACTAGTTACAGAGCACACTTCAAAAGGAGCGAGTATCTAAAGAAAAGAAAGAGAGAAATTCTGGCTGGTGCAAGTCTTATTTTATCACCTCTTCCCATCTCTGTCGACTATTAGCCCTAAGATTTGCTTTAATTAGTTAAGACAGATGAGCAAGGCTGAGAAAAGGTTGGCTTTCAGGAATCTTTATGTGATTCCAGGTCCTACGCCTATTCAATTTTGCCTGTTCAACTTTAGCTGGGAAATTTAGGCTATTTAAACATGTGTTCACTCTTATTCTTTTCTCCCTTCTTTAAAAAACTAAATTCATTGCCAGGTGTCTACCATTGATTCCACAACCCAAGGATAAGTCTTCCTTACCATGCTAACTTTAAAAACACAAGATACTTTAACATAGAAGCCTCTCAAAGCCAACTGATCTTACCATTAAAAATACCATCAAAGAACTTCCTTGGTGGTCCAGCGGTTAAGACTCCAAGCTCCCACTGCAGGGAGCCTGGGTTAGATCTCTGGCCAGGGAACAAGATCTCTGGTCAGGTTTGGACCAAGTGCAGCCAAATAAATAAATATTTTTAAAAACTGGGCTTTTCAAACATCAGTCATCATCATTTAAAAAAAAATACCACCACTCTCCTGATCTGCTTTTCATCATACCTTTCTAGTCTCACTGACACCACCTTATTTCTGGTCCTTAACTGCCCACCACACAGATGCACCTTTCTAATACAAAGCTATGAACATGTGATTTCCCTTCTAAACAAACCATCTCAGATTCCCCATTGTCCACTCATTTTAACGATACACTACAGGTCAAAGTATTCAAGATTTTTCTCTATGGGCACCTAATCAAATAGACTTTCGCTGATCACCCTATCTATATAAAACAGCATATCCCTGTCTTACTTTATTTTTCTTGCTAGTACTTATCACCACCTGGTAAACATATTTATCTGTTCCTATGTTTATTTGTTGCAACCTTCCATCAGAAAATACTTTCCCATGTTCACTGTTAATCGTCTACCACTGAATCCTCAGTGCCTAGAATACAGCAATCTCTCAAGATGTATTCGCGGGAAGAACGGGTGAATTCAGACATGCTACACACAGCATAGCTGGTCTAGAGTCAGAAGACCTATATTTGAGTTTTTGCTTCCACAAACCAACTGTATGGTCCTCAATAATTTTAACTTTTGGGGGTTATGCTCTCTTCATCTGTAAAAAGAAGGGGTCAAACAATCTATGAAACTGTTAAGTTTTTCCAGCTGCATCACCTTATACTTATGTTTAACTGGACTGAATACTTCCCCCAGAGCCCAATCCTCCTTTCTACATATCTCTGCTCAGTTTCCCTCATATGGATTCCTCCTTCGCAATCCACACTTCTCAGAACACTGTTAAGGTCCAATTTAAGTGCTGTTTTCTCCTTGAAGCCTAGCAAGCTGCACACTCTGTAAGAGGAGGGTGGAGTCTTGCCTTCACAGTCTTAGTAGTTAGTACAATGCCTCCCATACAGGTGATCACCAAGATGACTGCTGAATCATGTGCATGAATGAGGAAACAGAGGAAGCTCTTCCTGATTCGCTCCAGCTGCTCCTGGAAGCTGCCTCTGGGCTCATTCACTCGGCATCTCCTAGGGCCCCTACCACAGTCCACTTGCCTAGCACACACTAACTTGCAAAGTCCTTAAAATCAAGGACTGTCCCGACAGTTTCCGTATCCCTCCTCTATAGCATCTATCGTACATCTTCACCGCGGTGGTGTTGATTAAGCTTATCTGATACGTTAAACAACAGAGGGCTAATAAAAGAGAAAAAGGACCTTGAAATATCCCTATGATTCCACCTACCTACCACGCAGTCACTGGGCATACATGCTGTCAGTTAAACTCAGGCATTCCACATTACTCGAAAGATCTCATCCTTCTCTCCTCTACACACACTGCTTAATAAAACGATTACTACCTTCAAAAGTAGAAGAGCTACCCTCATGGAGCACTTAACTATAAGCCTTCTCTTGCAGGGATCCACTCACACACCAATACTTTCACTTCACTAAATGGCTAAAATGACTTTTCTGCTCATTTCAGACTACTACCCCATCCAATTCCCTCCTCCACAAGGTATGAAACCACTTTTAAAATCATTTTACCATAAGCTTGCAATTCTTAGTTCTGCTACTAAAAGACAAAATGACCTGTTTCAGGGTCGTCCTTCCCCTTTTCTAAGCAGTGGCAACTCCCCACTTAGTTCTAGGCTCTTAACAATCTTCTTTTCCTGTGCCATCAGGATCTTGACCCCCATTTATCTCTACCTTCAAGTTCTTATTCTGCTTCCATGGAACCTTCCAAGCTGCACAAGAGCTGGTGCAATACGCTCTCGACACCATTTACTTGGTTCCAATCTGCATCTTCCTTCTCCACTGTGTATTAATCGCCCCCTTAACCCTCCCCTGATACACATCACACTCTCTCACACTCTGCACCCATGCGTCACTCTACCTCGACGTACAAGTTCTTTACACCACTCTTAATGGATCTACACGACTCTCCTAATGGTATCTTCCGACAGATTCTAACCCAGTTTCTTCTGGGGACTCCAACCCCGGTCGTAGTACCTCTCTGTTTCCTCATTTCCTCATCCATTCCCTTCTTTATGTCCCCTACCCCCACCCCACCAACTAACTACAGATGACATTGTTTCTCAGTACTTCCAACCCCAGAACGATGAACAAACTCCAATTTCCGGCGGCCTCCCCCTCCTATAGGCCTCCCTCCCCGGCCTCCCCACACACCCCAGGTGCGCAGACTTCCACCTGGCCTTTTCCCCAGGCATCGCTCCAGCCAATTCCACAACCACACCACGTTTCCCCGCCACCGGGATCAGACTCCTCCACACATCAGACTCCTCCACACCCACCTCCATTCGGGGTCGCTGCCGCCTCCTCGGGCGCCTCCCCGCCCCAACCAGCCAGCGAGCCCGCGACCCCGGGCGCGCGCACACATACACATTCTCACGCTTCCCTAACCTCCCTCCCCGCACCGAGACCAGCCAGCTCCGCGGGAACTCAGCCCGGCCCGCGGAGGGGGGTAGGCACCCAAGAGTGTGCCCGCTCCGCCCCCTCCCGCCGAACCTCTCGCAGCCCCCGCCTCCCAGCCGGGAAAAGAGAGGACACAGCAACTCCCCCGCCACCCCGGACGTACCACCTCTGTGTCTGTTGCTCCATGCCCCCAACCTTCAGCCCGCTCCCCCGCTCCGTACAGGGCCAACCTCCACACTCACCGGAGATACTGCGCGCTCTGCAGGCTCATCCTCCGCCGCCGCGTCTTCCCGCGAAGCCTCTGCGCGTCTCTCAGGCTCCTCGGAGCGGCCCCGCGGCACCACGGGTGCTGGCGGCCGCCGCCATCTTCCTCTCCTCCGGCTCCTCCTCGCTCGGCGGGGGTGGGGGTGAGTGAGGCGAGAGGGGAGGGAGCGGGGAAAGCTGCTCTCGCTGCTGCTCTGGCCCTTGGGGCGCAGGGACACTCCGACCCGGGAAGGGGGGAGGGAAAGGGAGAAGGGATGGGGGCGGGGGAAAGAGGGACAGCAGAGGAAGGAAGTGCGGGGGGGGGTCTCTCGCGAGATTTCAGCGGCGCCGGTCCCTCCGGGTGATTTCCGCCTCTCTGTCGCGCTCCCTCTTGGGATCAGTTAGCCGTGCGGCGCTTGTGCGGCTGTTGAGTAGCCCACTGGAGGCGCTTGGTGGCTTCCGGCCAACCCACCTCTCCCCTCCCGCGCGAGGGAGCAACCCCAGCCTCACCGGGAACATCGAGCCCAAATCAATCGGGAGTTACACTCAAAGTCTTCCTCCGTCTTTCCACTCCGTCCGATTTCGCTCTTCCTTTTTTCCACTCCTCCACTCTTCCCGACCGGAAACGCCGCCTCTTCCTCTTACAGTTCCGGCCCCCAGTCCCTCGTCTCTGGTCCGCCCTCGCGCCCTAGAGTGACGCTAAGGACCCCCTCCTCCTTTCTGGGGCCCCTCCCTCTGCACGCAGGGACACTATAGTAGGGGTTAGGGTGGAGCCCAGGGATGGAGAGAAAAGAAACCAATCGGATTGGATACGCAGCTGCCAAGGCAACTGGAGGCTGTAGCTGTATTGTCATAGTAACCAATGTGTGCAGGCTGAATGACCCTCCCTTGGCTTAGTGGAGTCCCCGAAAAGTGCCTAGGGTTTCCCCTCGGCTTCCCTTCCATCTTAAAGGCCTCCCCCAGGTTGGGAATCCGGATAGTTCTCCTGGGCAGTGAGGTTGATTTTCTCCTCCCTTTCCCTTTCCCGCAGCGATGGGGGAGACCCCGAGGCATTCACCGTGGGCTTTTCCACCCGCCTGCGGGCGGGAACCGCCTCCATAGCTTTCCTCTTCGTGAAGGGTGCGGGGAGGACCGGGCCTACGAAGAAGATGCCGGGCCTGAAGGCTGGTGGGCGGCGGGCTGGAGATGACTGGGCGAGGCGGCGGCGCTAGGCTGCGAGGCGGGCCTGGGGTTTCCCCATCACCGGGAGGGCTCTGGGAGGCGGGGTCCCGCCAGGACGGGGTCCCTGAGGGAGGAGAACGGCACACGACTGCCGAGATCCCTCTTCTGCCGACTGGGACATCCGACTTTCCTCAGCGGGTCGGCCCCTCACAGAAATCTCCCAGACCCCACCCCACAATCGCACTCCGCGACGGAGCCTCCTCGGGATTTCCCCTCGCGGCCTTCACGCGCCATCTCCTGCCACGAGGAGGTCGGAGTGGGGATGGGAACTCATCTTGGAAGGCTGACAAGTGGTTTTTCCAGCACTTAGGGCAGGGGACACGGTGCGAAGTTCAGGGCCGCCATCCCTCTGAGAGGCACCCCTCCCCCCAGTGGGAGTCCCCGTTGCTTATCAAAAGCAGACGTCCCATTTCCTTGCTCTTCAAATTTCCTTCTCTCGTCTGTCTGCAGTGTTTTAGAACTCGTCACTGTGTATCTTTTGGGTTGGAGAGGAACGCATTGGGTAAGATGGTGTCAAGAAAAACAGATACTTGCGCGAAGTTCCAATGAAAGGTTTCTAGGAAATGGATTTTCATTCTTAGACCCAATCTTTTTGAATGATTATTATGTTTATTTTATCTCAGGTTTGAGGGGAAAAAAAGCACAGTAACGAATGGGTTCTTCATAATATGAAGTGTGAGAAGTAGCTGGAGAAGTTGTCATCCTAGTGATTTGAAAGAATTATTTAGCATTTTACAAATTATATTTTCCATTGGTATTATGGAGCTGTCCCAAAGTACCTTAGGATGTGTAACGGATAAACCCCTCCAGGAATGCCGGCCTCATTTCATGGTTAAAATCAGAATTTTAAGGGGCTATTTTCTTTTGACTCTGTTGGGATACCTGATTCTTTAATGCTGGGTGAAGAAGCACTGTCAAAATCCTTTCGCGACCGCACCTCACCTATTAAATGACTGGACCAATGTTTGAGGAAATGAAAGTGCAAGCTGTTTGAAATTAAGTCCCAAGGACAGATTATCATTAACAAAATAGAAACTGAACTATGCCCCCTTGTGCTGCAAGCGTCTACTGTGATGTGGTGTGACACGCGGTTTGATTGCAGCTGTACAATGCCCCCTATCGTCCCACCGAGAGGCCGCCCACTCATAGGAAAGAGAGACACCTAGTGAAAGATTGTTCTCATCTCTGGTTTAGAATCCGACTTTTCTTCAACCTGCGAGCTCAAGGATGGAGATTACTGCTACATAGTACCGAAAATGGGTTTCCTCGGTGGCTCAGCGGTGAAGAATCTGCCTGCCAGTGCAGGAGACATAAGAGACATGGTTTCCATCCGTGGGTCGGGAAGATCTCCTGGAGGAGAGAATAGCAACCCGCTCTAGTATTCTTGCCTGGAGAATACTATGGACAGAGGAGCCTCGCGGTCTACAGTCCATAGGGTGGCAGAGTCTGAAGCGACTGAGCACATAGGCACACAGTACCTAAAATACCATAGATTTCCTTTCTGAAATTTATTGGTTAGATTTTTAAAAAGATCTTAGAATAAAAATTTTATATTATGTAAAATAACCACCCCCTTAGTAATTACCATAATAACACCGTTTATGTCTATGTCTTCTGTGTCCAGTCAACAGTATATGGGCACATATCATGACACCTAACAAGCAATCTAGAAAAATACTAGGATCTTCTGGTTTTGAAAACTGTGATCGGAAAAGTGAATCTTTTTGTTGTGTTGTTTGTTTAATAAACATTACTGAGCATTCATTTTATTTCAGACGCTGTCCAGGTTACTATGGATACCACTGTGGAAGAGACATGTTCCTTGTCTGGGAGGAGCCCACCTTTTGGTAGAGATACCAGAGAATAGAGATGTGATTTGGATGCAATATTATGGGTGTGGCAGTTAAGGTAAGAAGAACGTGCTTTAAGTGTGCTGATGAAGTTCAGACATATAAGCCATGTTTGTATTTTATAGCAGCTTTCCTAAGAATTTTTCAGGACTCTTTAGTAGCTTTAGTGTCTACAAACCAGATAGAATGGTAATATTTACATTTTACAGATTATAGAACATTGATACCCATCTTGAAAGTAACTTTAAAGTCAATGGGATTCAGAAAAATTATGATCCAAGTTTATATATTGCTTAATGTACATTTTCCAATTTCATTTCTTTCTACTGGCCCCTGTCAACAGGTTTGTAGAATACAACCATCTTCCTGCAGTATTATTCACCTTGTTCCCCCTACTGGAAAAGGTTACATTGAAACTAAAAGAAATTATAGAAGACAAGCTATTTCATTTTGTTTCATCCTACCTGATCTTAAGTTTTTCACTTTATGCCTAAGTGATTTTATGGAAAAATCATAAGTTAGCAGATCTGAGTGCATCCGAAGTCTGCCATCTCAGTCTCTGAACTTCAGTTTTTTTCTTGATTAGAGGAAACATTACCTATCACAGGCTTTCTGTGAACTTTAATGATAACTGTATGCATATATGGTGGCTCAGCTGGTAAAGAATCCACCTGTAATATGAGAGACCTGGGTTCAGTCTCTGGGTTGGGAAGATCCCCTGGCAAAAGGAACAGCTGCCCACTCCAGTATTCTAGCCTGGAGAATTCCATGGACTGTATATGGGGTCACAAAGAGTTGAACACAACTGAGTGACTTTTACGTTTTACTTACATGAATATATGAGTGCCTAACATACAACACTGGCATTTGATGAATGTTAATTTTTTTTTTACCTGTTGCTCTTTTATCAAGGTAAAACTAGTACTATAGAACTACTGCAGCATAAAATTATTATTTTTTAAATTGGTTATCCAGTCTTTGTCTCTAACACTCATAAATCTGACGACACACCCATACTTATTCTCATTCAGTGCTAGAAGATCGATTTCTTTGTCCTCGACTCTGATTACAGAAAAGAATACAGTATCAGGACAACGTGAGTCAGATTCCAGAGGGTTAAAACTTTAAAAAAACACAAACCTTTTACCAATAGAAACAGCTTAATATAACCACACTTCTGCCCAAGTAAATAGAGTGGCCAGTTTTCAACCAGACACCAAGTACTTGCTAAGAAGCTACTCTTAACATTGCTATTGAGTTTACTCAGAGCTTTGGTAACCTGATAATTAATATATAGGAAGCCTCCTCCCTTTTACTAATAATACACATCTCACCTGTTCCATGAACCCTTAACAAGTACTAATTTATTTTGATAATTAACCTACATATTCTGATTGTTTACAAATCATGTGTACAATAGATACTTCGTAAATGTGTTTCTGTTTTGATGAGAGTGATTTATCAATTGCAGTACTCAAGGACACGACGTATAGGAAGCTGGCCCGTGTTCTCTTCAGTACCACACCTCAGACATGGAACTAAGTGATTCAATCAAGTGAGTAATTCGTTCTCTTCAAACAATGAGTCGGATACAAGCTGATTAAACTCAGGTTGCTGGTTGCTCAAGATTTCTTAGATCAAGGGTTGGCAGCCTTTCTCAAACAGTTCATTTATTTCTCAAACACTGTGAATAGTCCCTGAGCCTCCGGAACAGTCAGGAAGCACTGCAGTTCAAGATTTAAGAGAAGAAACTTCTGGTTTGGGAGACAGTGAGATGACAGTGGTAGTCAGAGCTTGCTCTCCTTCTCCACTCTCCTAATGATTCCCAAAGGAAACCTTATTAATCTTCAAGAGTTTCTCTTAACTTCCAGTAAGAAAACACTTCTGGTAAAGAACTACACCTTAAAATCCTATCTGCTGTTTTAATGGATGTAGACCATCTGGAGAAGACAGGAAGAAATGCCCATAGGGAACACTGAAGAGTATTAAAGAAAATTAAAACCTTGGCCTCTTGTACTTTATGTTGTCCAAAGGCCTTTATACTACTCCAAGAACAGTACTATGGAAACCAGCATGGGGTTCCTAGTCTAAAATTAATGTATTTCTTGTCAAAATATGTTGTATTACCCAGAAGCTGCCTTTTTTTTTTTCTTAAAACACCCAAATAAAAGGAAAACAATTTTTTCACTATTTTATAGTCACCTCTTTCCTTATATCTGGAGCATAGACAACTATTTTTGAGCACAGAGAATGTGAAACTGATGCTGTCATAAATCTGCTCTTCTTCAAAACCATAGGAAACCACATGTGTGCACACAGGCTCATACATACATGCACACCGTCCTCTTTTCCCTACCTGTATTATTTTACCGCTTCCATTTTCAGTTGAAGTTAAAATGTGATATAGATGAAAAGCAAAGCAACTCACGATATGCATTTGTTACTTCAAGGCTTACTGTGGATAGGTACCCAAGTACTGTTCTGCTTTGCTTAACTATCCTAGGATCTTTTCTATTCACAGAAAAATTCTACATGTTATAAACCTAGATAGTTTGTCTCACATTTATAAAAATTCTTAATATCATTGGATTACAAGATATGAGAGCATGTCCCAGAAGAAATTAGTGAATTTATGTATTCTTATAGTCTGTAGTTTAGCCATATTACTCTTTAAAGTTTTTATTTTAAATTCTTGGCTTGAATTTTCCATTGGCTTTCCATCGCTCTTAGAATAAAGTCCCCAGTCCTTAGGATGACTTACATGATCTGGTCCTTGCCTGCCTTTTCTCTAACATTTCCTGAAGTCAGCACTTTAGCCACAGTGACCTTCCTTTAGGTCCTTAAATAAGTGGTATTCTTTTCTACTGAGAGCCTTTACACCAGCTGTTTCCTTATTTATATAACTTTTCTCCCTTCTTATGCTTCAAGCCTAAACTGGAACATCTTTGGAAAAGTCTTCTCTGCCCCACACCCCATCAAGCTAGGTTAGCTACACCTACTGTATACTCCCATAGCACCCTGCCCATCTTCTTCATGGCATTTGTCATATTTGTAATTCTTTATTCAATGTCTGTTGCCTCCAGTTGGCTATAAACTCTGCAAGTGCAGACACTACCTGTTTTTTGCTTGCTGCTGTTTATTACTCCCCAAGCAAGGATGCTGATACAAGGATGTTCATAAATGTTTGTAGAATCAATCAATCTTGGGAAAATTTTTAAATTTGGACCCTGATTTTTCATATAAATGCTTAAAATTCCTGACCACCTTTCTATGGAATATCGAAGTCTAAGCAATAAGAGAAGCATTACTAAGCAATAAGAGAAGAAATTTTCTGGGCCTTCAGCCTGTCTGAGAAATTACTGTTAAATGTAATTTACTTAGGCAGCCAGTAAAGAGCACACTTATAAGGTTATGGATAACTCATCAATTATCTAATAGCAACATCTCATACTTCAATGTAGGAAAAAGGTCTTCAGTGTCCAAATTACTTTTATTTAACTTTTATATTTTCTAATTTGGGGATAGAGGAACCAGTTAATCCTCTTATTGTGTGGCAGAAGAAAAGTGCACTTCTGGGGAAGATGGCAAAAGAGAAGACAGGCAATCAGCTAGGTTGGAAATAAGATAGAAAAATTAGATTTAAAAATTCAGAAAGAAAATTGAGTCAGAGTGTAGAACAGAAAACTCAGTAGTCTTTGTATTACTCACTGGAAAGATGTTTATAAATTCTGGCATTATTGTTATTTTTTTCTCCTGTAATAGGATAGGGCTAAATAAATTTAATGTATGTTTCCTAAGGAGAGGGTCATATGCAATTTCAAAGTAAGTGAGATATTTATAATATATTTAAGTTATATTTCTAGAGGCAGGCATGTTGTCTAAGTTCATGGTGGCTCAGTGGTAAAGAATCTGCCTACAATGCAGGAGATGCGGGTTTGATCCCTGGGTCAAGGAGATCCCCGGAGAAGGAAATGGCAACCCACCCTGGTATTCTTGCCACGAAAATCCCATGGACAGAGAAGCCTTGTGGGCCACAGTCCACAGGGTTGCAAAAGAGTTGGAAACAACTTAGTGACTAAACAAGTAGCGGCCTAACAGCTAGACAATGTACCGAGCAATGTCAGGCGCTCAGCAGGTGGCACTGCTCTTGTCACACATGTAAGGTGAGTCAGAGCTTCACATACTCAACTTCACATTCTAAATAATGTAGGTTAAACAAAATAATGTTGTACAACTGCATTTGGAGAGAGAGAGGTACACAGCACGCTGCCTTGAAACTCTATGACCAGCTGTATCATGTGGCCAAGTATAAACTGCCAAGAGAGAAAACAGCTTTCATCTACTTACAGAGGATGTCTCAGTTCATTAGGAGTTTTATATTTGCATGAGATGAGATCCAAGATCTGTCAAAAATGAAGAGGATAAGGAGGCTTATAAGGAGCAAAGCCACCTGTTGGTGCTTTCCCTGCCCTCTTTCAAACTGACATTTCTGGAAGGCTCTCTGGCTCCCTCTCCCATTGTCTTGCTCCCTCTCAGCCAGTGGCTGTGAGCTTTCCTTTATGGTATCCAAAGTGATCCGACCCTTTGTCCAAGAAGATGTTCAAGGGTTTAGTTCTTCTTGAAAAATAACCCTGTGGTAAACCTATAAGGCATGCCAACTCTTAGAATACCAACATTTCCAAAATGTAGGCAGCAGTGGCCTAGGTGTTACAGAAGGCAATCAGCTTGTAGAAAGCAAAGTTGAAGTCCTTTTTCTGTAAGTATTTGTTGGACAGCTAAATTGTAGCATTAAAGTGCAATAGGAATTTTAGGTACAGGTGTTAGAGTACATAGGGAATGTTAACTAATGATCCTATCTTTCTATCTTTCTCTGCTCTTTAAAGACAGATCTAAACCAACCCTTTACTTCTCTCTTAATCTGGGGGTATTTAACACTAAGGAGAAAGCTTAGTGAGTTATGGATCCTCTAGAATTTTAGTGTTTAATTTTTTATTCAGTTTTTTCATTCACTCAATCCTCAAAAACATATTGAGAATTTTCTGTGTTGGGTCATATGCTAGTCACTGGGATGCAAATGTGAACAATACAGTCTTGCTCTCAAGTGTTTAAAGCTTAAAGGAGAATTATGGGGCAGTTGTAGTATAGAGTGATAAAACTTTTAGAGGTCTTTGGAACCATTCCATCTTGAGATCATGTGCAGACAGACATGCAATCAGATGGTCCTTAAGTGTTCCAGTCAGCTTTAAAGTCTTTTCAGAATGAGGTTTTGCAGAGTTAACTTTTTCAAATTCTATTTCCCAGAAGGAAAAGGAATATTTACAATTCAGCTACCAATAGAGTGATGGCAAACCACAGCTAAAAGTATTCTAGACTAAAATATGGCTGAAGGATGCAAACTTTGTAATTCTATGTCACAGTTATATTAGGTTAATATAGCTTATATAAGTTATATACTAAGTAGATGTAAAGTCTAACTATGACATAGACTTGCACAGAAAATGGCCAAAAACACAATACTAAGAGCAGTTATTTCTGTGAGGCAGATTATTTATGGGAGGCTTTTATTCATCTCCCACCAACCAAAAGGTAAAGTAGATTTTATTGTTGTGGTGGTTGCTATTGTTGCTGGGAGTTTCATTGTTTGTCATTGTTTTTAAAGAATGTCTGGACTATCTGCCAAGTTACGGAAGCCTAAGTAATGTGGAGTTAAAAATAAATGTAATAGCTTTTTGCATACTGGTGATTTAAAAAAAAAAAAAACCTTATTAGAGGCCATTCCCAAAGACATGTCCTAAGGCTCACTGTAACACAATATCAGGTACTGATACTTTTGTACAAAAGTTGATGAGGGTGATCATCTTTGAATATATCATTGCTGACCTTCTTTGGTAATTCTGGATCTACTGGGAACCATCACAGCCTGAGAAGGATGAAACGCCCTAGATGGGATTCACAAAGGATCATTTTATACAATAAAAGTCTACCATTAAACCTTTACTGAACCTTTTTGCCTTCTCTTTAAAAATCTTTTCTCATCCCTCAACTTTAGGTCACACCTGACCCCTCCCAGTTATATAACAAGCTGCATTTCCTCATTTCTCTGGAATGTGACCAGTCAGGAAACTCAACATTTGCTTTGCTCTTTTTTTTTTTTCCTAGTGGGAAAGAGAAAGATAGGGAGAAAAACTGAATTGAGAAAGAAGCAAGATCACGGAAAGAGAAAAGGAAAACTATAAAGTCTAGAGGAAGCGAAAGAAGAGATGGATGAGCAAAGAACCACACTAGCTGGTAGTAGTAACAGTTGTCAGACACTTACCTATTAGAATTTACTTTCTGTGAGACTCTAAGAAATGACTAGATCCCCAGTCCAAATTAAAAACAAGAAAGGAACTTGGCAACCTCTGAAATATACTTTTAGACCCAGTGATCTCTACCTGCTGAATGGGACATCTCTGATTCTTGCTGTCTGACAAGTTTGAGATGTTTTCCATTTAATAATCCTTTCTGAGGCTGGTATAGACCATGAGAAACTTTATATTGCCATTTTAAAAGTAG